TCTCTCTCTCTCTCTCTCTCTCTCTCTCTCTCTCTCTCTCTCTCTCTGTGTGTGTGTGTGTGTGTGTGTGTGTGCGCGCGCACGTGTACACACTATATAAATGGACCCAAAGAATTTGGTGACTCCTGGAGAGCATCATGGCTGGCCTCTGCTTGGCAGAGATTGAAGCTAAAGCGTTGAAGGGACCAAGCTGGAGTGTGCAGGTTTCCAGGGCCTCTCAGTTCACTTTGCTGAGCCAGAGTCTCAGGGCTTCAGCCACAGGCTGGAGAGAGCTCAGCAGTTACAAGTGCCTTCTGCTGTCCCCGCACACCTGAGTTCCATTCCAGCACCCATGTCAGGTGGCTCACAACTACCTGTACCTCCAATTCTAGAGGACCCCAAACCTTCCTCTGGCTCCTGTAGGCATACACACACACATGTGGCATACAGACATACACACACAGACACATAAATAAATCTTAGAGAGAGAAAAAAGGAGAAGGCCTACTACCATCAAGTAGAATTCTTTTAGAACCTAAATACCTTAACTCATAATATGTGAGTTGAAGGCATGCCCACATCCCAAACTGTGCATGTTAGGAAACGGTTTTGGTCATTTGTGATATGTACCTATGTGTTCCTGTTTGTACACACATCTATGTGGCCGTGTGCACCTGTGTGTGAAGGCCCTGGGGATGACTTAGGTGTTACTACTCAGTAGCTGCTGCACCTCTTTTTTGAGATAGGGTCATTGAACCCAGGGTTTGCTTGATTCAGCTAGTCTTGATGGATTGAGCTAGGCTGGCTGGCCAGTGAGCCCCAGGATCAGCCTGTGTATACCTCCGCAAACCTTGTATGCGGATGCTGGGATCTGAGCTCGTGTCTCCGTGCTCGCACACCCAGCTCTTCACTGGCTCATCTCTTCCCAGCCCCCATTATTTTTTTTTTTATTTATTTATTTTTTTTGTGGTTTTTCGATTCTTGGTTTCTCTGTGTAGCCCTGGCTGTCCTGGAACTCACTCTGTAGACCAGGCTGGGCCTCGAACTCAGAAATCTGCCTGTCTCTGCCTCCCAAGTGCTGGGATTAAAGGCGTGCGCCACCACTGCCCAGCCCCAGCCCCCATTTTTGTAAACTTTAGTGTCCATCCAGAACTCTCACTGACTTAACCTTTCTCCCCTATTTGAAGGTTTCTTGTTCTCCTCAAGGTCTAAAGGTTTGGGTTCAAGACACTTCATACCTGTGTAGCCGGGCGGGTCAGGTCCTCCCAGTCCGAATTCAGATGAACGGCTGGATTCACAATGGAAACCTGCTGTGCCCCTCCTGCTGGGACTTCTGTGAGCAGTGTCCACCAGAAACAGACCCTCCAGCTGCCAACCTGACTCGAGCCCTTCCTCTGGGTGAGTACTCACCATGATTGGCGGAATGAGGGCAAGTAAAGAGAAAGCTGTTCCTTACAGGATATTGAAATCCCTTTACAGGGCTCTGGAGTGGGCCAAGCTTATTTCTCCTCTGATTTGAGGTTCTCTAGGAAAATCCTGCTTCCTGCTGTTATTGTAAACTTGAAGCTGGTGAACAACCCAAGGCTTTTGCTGTACAGCCAAGGCTGCTCTCACATTCACAGTGGCCCTCCTGCCTCAGCATCCCAAGTGCTAGGGTTATACATATGTGCGACAATGCTCATCTGTTATTTTCCTACTGTGTGTGCCACTGCAGATTTTTTTTTTCTTTCTAGAAACTACAATGTAGCCCAGGTTAGCCTTGACCTTGGCCATGATCCTCTCTAGACACCCAAGTATGAGAATTATAATAGTATTCCACCATGACTAGCATGGGTGAACCTTTGTCATTGAATATATCAGAACATATATTATTAATGAAAAACTGGATAGAATGTTATGCATTTTTGAGTAAATGTTTGCCTTGAGGTGGGAGAGATATAATTTAATTTTTAAACTACATCTTAAAATATACATTTATTCACTTTGAAACTAAGAGTGAACAAAATTCTACTTATCAAATACAAAAAAGAAACCGTATTTTAATTATATCATAATGAAGTAAGATACTCAAAAAGGGGACTGGAAGACTGATCACTGTATAGAACACTTCCTTCAAGAGTATTGAGGCCTGAGTTCAAATCCCTAGGACCTTCGTAAAAATCTAGACATAGTAGTGCTTGCCTATAATCTCAGTCCTTTGCAGAGGGGTCAGGAAAATCCCAAGGGCTCACTGGTGTACCAGCCAGTCAGTCAGTGAGCTTCAGGTTTCCTGAGGACAATAGAGGAAGACACCCTGCATCGGGCTCTTCCATACACCCCTTAGAAGACGTGTGCACACATGAGCACATCCACACACAAGCTACTCAAATTAGGATTGGTACCAATGAAGAGTAAAGTACACGAGACACACACAAAAGGAGAAAGACACTCGCTTATAAGATGAGGCTCTCACTAAAACATACTGTAGGCTGACTGGCTGGTTACTCCTACCTGAAATATCTGGAAATAGAATTGTTTTGGAATTCAGAGGTTTTATGATTTTGGAACATTTGCAAATACAAGTGAGCTGTCTTTGGCATGAGACCTAAATCTAAAAACACAAAAAATATTGACATTTATATATGCTTTATACACATGCCCTGATGGTAATTTGCTACAGTATTTTTGGTGTGCCTTCATTTTGATCAAGTCAGATACGGAATTTTCCACAAGTGGGGTCATCTCTGTTCCCAGAACAGTTTGGATTTTGGAGCATTTTGGATTTCAGGTCTTCAGATTAGGGATACTCTATTCTTCTATTCATTCCGTGAGACTGAGGTGACACGTTCCAGTGCAGTTTTTAGAACCAGGAGGAGGTCAGAAAGGACTGGCTTCAGAAGGCCTCGGTGAAGGTGTTCACACTGAGAATTAATGGCAGAATCATGAATCCTTAAAGTATGACTTTTAGCATTTCATAATATTAACTATAAGCATCTTATGCAGTTTTCCTCAAATGTTAGTATTTTTTTTTTAATGACAGTTAAATGAGAGTGGCTTCCATGCTATGGTGGTTTGAATGCTTGGCCCAGGGAGTGGCACTATTAGGAGGTGTGGCCTTATTGGAAGAAGGGTGTCACTGTGGGGGGTGGGCTTTGAGACCCTCCTCCTGCCTGCCTGGAAGTTAGTCTTCTTCTGTCGTCCTTGGAACAAGATATAGAACTCTTGGCTTCTCCAGCACCATCCCTGCCAACCATGATGATAATGGTCTGAACCTTAGAACAGCCCCAGTTAAATGTTGTCCTTTGGTCATGGTATCTCTTCACAGCAGTGGAAACTCCTAACTAGGATACATGGTCTGTCTCAAACTAAACAAACAAAAAGTAGATGGCTTTATATAGCTTACAGGTAAAAGTTTATACACTGTAAATCCTGTCTTTCCCAAAGCCTGGATCTTTCCCCACCCAAAGTCCTTTAAGTAGAGAGCAAGGTATGGATTTTTTGAGACAGAGTTGGTCTATGTAACATAGGCTGGTCTGGAACTCATGGTGATACCCTTACTTCAGCATCTCAAATGCTTGGTTAGGCACCTGTCACCAAGCCTGGGTCAGATAGTGAATTCAGAGGGTTTGTACCTATGTTGGGGATCTTCAGGACAGTCCTTATTTGTTAGCTCCCTGGAAGAATTCCCAGGACTTGTCTCAGTGGAAACACACGAGACAGAATCACAGAAGGGAAAAAGACACAGAATCAAAGTCTAGATCAGACTGCTCTACAGGCAGTAGCTGGGAGCCATCTTGGCTTCAAAGCCCCTCAAGCAGCAGCCTCAAGCTGCTGTGCAGATGCTGTCTACACAGCTCCACAGATGCTGTCTAGACAGCTCCACAGATGCTGTCTACACAGGTCTACTCAGTTTCTTCACAGTTACACTAACAGCACAATGAATTATTTCAAATGGGAGTCTTAGGTCCTATCTTACTTAGGGTTTTAGGGCTGTGAACAGACACCATTTCTTCACCTAGAATTTGCTCCATCCCAGGCTGGCCTTGAACTCAGAAATCTACTTGCCTCAGTCTCCTGAGACTAAAGGTGTGTACTACTTTGCCTGGACCCAAAGTTTTTCGTGGCCACTATGCCTCAAGAGCCAGATCAAAATCCTGTGTTGTCCAGCCTCATGATCTGGATCACAGGTGTTCCCTGCATTTCTGGATTGTAGTTCATTCCAGATTAAAAGTCCAAAGTATTCCTTGTTCAACTGCAAACACAAACAATAAGCTTAGCTGGGATCTTAGTGGAATCTTGCCCTCAGATCACCATTCCCTTAATCTCTTTTTATCTTTGAATATAGGATCAGCTCCTTTTTATTTCCTGGTGCCCTTTATTATTACTTGAACCATACATCTTGTATTTTTTCCTTTCTACACTTGCTATGCTTGTTCAAAACACTCTTCATGAGACTTAACAGAGAACAAAGTCTCTGCTGGGCTTTTTTGAGATTTCCTTTGTCAGTGTAATTAATATAAATCTCTTCACTTTAGCCTCAGGCAGACTCTTCAGACAAGGGCAAAAAGCAGCCACATTCTTCACCAAAATGCCACAAAAACAGTCTCTAGGCCACATATTGAAACTCTTCTCCACTGAAGCCTCTTGGGCCAGGTCTGCACAGTTCAAATCCCTCTCAGCAACAAAATCTTCCTACTAGGATGGCCCATTAAGACCCATTTAAAGCATTCCACTGCTTTCCAAATCCAAAGTCCCAGAATCCACATTCTTCCAAACAAAGCATGGTCAGGCCTATCACAGCAATACCCCAGTCTCTGGTACTAACTTATGTCTTAGTTAGGGTTTTACTGCTGTGAACAGACACCACGACCAAGACAACTCTCATAAGAACAACATTTAATTGGGGCTGGCTTACAGGTTCAGAGGTTCAGTCCATTATCATCAAGGTGGGAGCATGGCAGCATCCAGGCAGGCATGGTGCAGGAGAAGCTGAAAGTTCTACATCTTCATCTGAATGCTGCTAGCAGAATACAGACTTCCAGGCAGCTAGGATGAGGGTCTTAAAACCCAAGCCCACAGTGACACACTTACTCCAACAAGGCCACACCTTCTAATAGTGCCATTCCCTGGGCCAAGCATATTCAAACCATCACAGGCCCTTTGATGGAATTTATAGTAAATGTAGTGGTTTAATATGAAGTTGATAGGAAAGATTCATCTTGTTGGATCTCTTTGGCTCAAATTAGAAGCGTACTGGTATAGAATTAAAATTAGATAAATCCCATTGGCTACACGTTCCTTGCTACCTACACCAATGTTCTGAGTTCCCGAATGAAAGACACATACACAGCCTTTATATTGTGATATGTCTTAATCAACTCAATGGCTAGACCACTTCCTAACCTCCATGTGGTTAATCCATACCCCCACCCCCACCCCTGCTGATAGTCTCAGACTATTACTTGCTAAATCCTACATTCTATCCTGGCTGCTCTGGACCCAGAGTGATGCCCAGCTGGGCTGCAGTCTCCTCGGCTCCTTCACATGTTGGCCATGCCTCCCTGTCCCCCACTCTCCTCAAACATGGTAGCTCTTCTCTCCTTCCTGCATGGTGAATCTCCACTCCTCTGTCCCTAGCCTGGGAATCTTCAAAGTCCTGCCTCTGTCTGCCCCGCCTGGCCATTAAGCTGTTGACATCTTTATTTACCAATCAGAACCAACTGGGGACAGGGTCCCTGAGTGTCTTATGTAAGGACTCTCATACAAACAATTTTGGGGACTGTCTCAGTTAGGGTTTTACTGCTGTGATCAGACACCATGACCAAGGCAACTCTTATGAGGACAGCATTTAATTGGGGCTGGCTTACAGGTTCAGAGGTTCAGTCCATTATCATCAAAGTGGGAGCATGACAGCTTCCAGGCAGGCATGGTGCAGGAGGAGCTTAGAGGGCATCTTCATGTGCAGGGCTCTAAGAGAAGAGTGACCTTCCATGGAGCTAGGACTAGGGTATTGAAGCCCACACCTACAGTGACACACCTACTTTAACAAAGCCTCATACCCTAAGAGTGCCACTCCCTGGCCCAAGTACATACAAACCATCACTGGGACCCAAATTAACATAAGAATGCAAACAGCCACATACTGGTCCAAAACTAGAGGGTCGTAAGAGGGCACCCATCCTTACACCTAGCCCAGATTTAACTGTAAGATCATCACCATCTCATTGTTAGAGCAGTTATGTGGGAGGGGCGGTGTTCACACCTTTAGCAGTTGGAGTTGTGATAAAGGGAAAGTCGACTTCTTGGGTTCAGGATAAGAATCTTTGTACAGAAGCAGAATATGGGGAAATCAGGAGGAAGCCAAGTTCAGTCAAGGCTGTGAAACAGCCTTTGACACAGCCAAAGGATCTGTTGAGAGGAAGTTGGGCAGTAGTGATCACTAAGAACTCTACCCCCCTGCACCTAAGTCAGGTGGCCCTTACACATTCTCTCTCCTGCTCCCTGTTTGTAGGGAGGAGAGGGAACTGTGAGTGAATGGGTACTATTGACACAGGTACAGCCATGTCCAGGACCCCAGTGCCTCAGCCATATAGGAGTAGCAAAGCCTTCGTAGGTGAGATTCAGAAGATGGCAGAGCCTTCCTCCAGGGTCCAAGTGGGAAAGATGCATATGAAAACTAGCAACTGCAGCTTCCTCCTCCCGCATGTTTACAGCCAGTGACAGCCCACCGACTTCCTACCCACACTAGGTAACCCCTCCCCTGGGCCGACTATATTAAGCACTCTGAGGTTCCAGTTGCATCTGTAGTTAGGTTGACTCCATTTGAGTGTGCACAGCCCACTTGACCCCAGCTTTTCAGTGTACATCTGCTGTGTCTGCTGTTTCTTTAGTGGGTGTGTTCTCGTCATTCCTTCACTGCCCCAGCCAGTCAAGCCCGCTGTAGTGAGCACAGCATCTCCTTGTGTAGCAGGGCTTCTCTGAGACTTGGTGTGCTGCCATCTCTGTGAGGAAGTGTGCACAGAGCACCGTAGCCTCCTAGTTCCCCCAGCCGACACTAGCATGATCCTGAGACTGGGACAGGCTAGAACAAGAACAGGGAGAGCTCAGGCATTGCTAAAATGCTGAAATGCCTCAACTTCCTGCATTTGTCGATATATGTGTGTCTGTCTGTGACACACAAGAGTTTTAACTGACCACCTATTGAACTGTGTGCCATGAACAACTTTCATATGCTTGTTCTCTCTCTCTCTCTCTCTCTCTCTCTCTCTCTCTCTCTCTCTCTCTCTCTCTCTCTGTGTGTGTGTGTGTCTGTGTGTGCATGTGTCTCTCTATGGTATGTGTGTCTGTCTCTGTATGTGCATGTGTCCTCTCTTTTGTTTTTTGAGACAGTCTCATGTAGCTGGGCCTAAACCACAACTCCATGTGAAGCTGAGGGTCTCTGAATCCCCGTGCCTCCATGCCCCTTGTCCTCTGCTCACCTCTCAGTTGTAATCAGGACGGTGTGCAGGGATAATGGACCTGGCTGGCATTGCCGCACCTGCTTTATGCACGCTGGCGATTGACTCTAGGGCCTCAAACAAGCTTGACTAGTCCTCTACCTTCTGAGCTGCATCTCCAGTGTTATGTCCAGTTCGTGGGAACCCCAGGAGACCACCAGGAATTGCGAGTCCAATGCAAGAACATAGAAAGTCTTTATTATATGAGTCTGACCCAACCGCAAGCCTTTTCTGCACCGCAGATTAGGAATGTGATGCTCGTGTCCAGGGTCTTGAGGTATATGTACGAGTATGCATAAGCTGGGATTCCTGAACTTTGGTGTTATGAAATTGAGGAGGTGATAAGGAAGTGCCATCCTTCAAACCTGATAACGTTTGTCCAGAGAGCGGGGTGGAACTGCGCAGCTGGAAAGGGACCTCCCTGACCCGGGAAAAGTAACTTATTGCACTATCAGAAGCTAGTGTAGTTTTACAAATTGGTCACAGCTATATGGGAACATTTAATTGCCTCTTTCCCATAGTCTAAGAGTGGGCTTTTATCTCTTCGGAGATATTGGCTTCTGCTTCCTTCTAGGACAGGAGCCATCTGCACTGGAGAAATGCTGGTTATTAATTAAGAGAGGAAGGGGATGTTGTCATGAAAGAGGGATTGCAATCTTCTAGCCCCAGGCTGTGCTCCCTTTTGTCTGCCCTCTCCAAGGGCTGGGACATCTATGCTGGGGGAAGGGGGCGGAGCCAGTGCTAACTGCTCTGGCACAGGGGCAGGTTTCCTGTGTCTCTTCACCAAACTGAGTTGTTTCTCTTTAAAACTGGTATTACTTGCAAATTTTATCTTAAGAATGTGATATTTTCAGTGTACTTGCATGAGACATACAATGAACCCACAGTGAAGCATTCTTGGCCGTTGTCATCCCTGATTTACTGTCTTGTGAGATAAACTATGTTAGTACTAAACTGTTAACGTGAAAGCTAAGAGTTAACAGAGCATGGCGGCACGTGCACAGCACTTGTAGGGTCAGACGTTCAGGGATCCCCAGCACAGAGGGTTTGAGGCCTGCTTGGGCTGCGTGAGACCCTGTGTCTAAAAACAAATGAATAAACAAAGAAAAAACCTACTAATGTTCTGAAAGAAATATAGAATGAATTCTGTCTCCATTAATTCTTCTGTTTTTATTGTTCCCATTTGGTTGGTTCACATAACCTTCTTACAGAAGTAATATATTTCAGAATATTAAACTTATTGCAGAAGTAATAATATATTTCAAAATATTAAACTCATTTTTAAATTTACTTTTAGACAGGGTCCTATTCTCACCCAAGGTGACCTAGAACTTTCTGTGTAGACCAGGTTGCCTCCAACTCATGGTGATCCTCTAGCCTCTGCCTCTGGAGTACTTAGGTTACAGAACTGCACACCCATGCCTGTTTGTGGAGCACTGAGGATTGAACACATGGCCTCCAGCACACAGGGCGAGTGCCCTTCCACTGAGCTCTGGCTCCAGGCCTCTCCATCCCCTCCCTGAGCTCTGGCTCCAGGCCCCTCCATCCCCTCCCTGAGCTCTGGCTCCAGGCCTCTCCATCCCCACCCTGAGCTCTGGCTCCAGGCCTCTCCATCCCCTCCCTGAGCTCTGGCTCCAGGCCCCTCCATCCCCTCCCTGAGCTCTCTCTCTAGGCCCCTCCACCCTCTCTCTCATCCTGTGCTCACCTCTCAGTATTTGATTGCGATGATGTAATCACACACACAACCTGTTGTGTTGTTTTCTACCCTAGATCTCTGCTCCTGTTCTTCTAGCCTGGTGGTCACGCTTTGGCTCCTCCTCGGCAATCTGTTCCCTCTGCTGGCCGGGTTCCTTCTGTGTGTGTGGCACTAGGAGTGGAAAAGTGAACTCTCAAGACGACAGTTTTGTCATGTTCCCATGAACAAAGCACAGGACCTGGGTGAGCGCCAGCCCAGGCAGGTGATACAGCCGGCAGATGTGCCATTCCAACTCTGGCTTGGAGGTGCTGTCCACAGTAGGACTGTGAAGAGTGGGTCACCCAGTGTGACTGCTCCGCGACAAACACTCCTTACCAGCCACATAGCCACCTCAGAGTTGTGGAGAGGAACTGCCCAAGGCTCCTGAGTTCCTGGATATGCAGTCTCCTGACAGTTCTTCTTTAATGCCAAGTGGATGGTGGGATTGTTCCAGTCACATACCTCAGCGTTTGCATTCATGAGCATCAAGGTCACTCAGAGCAGCTGACGGCCCAGTCCTCCAAAGTACAAAACTGGTCATCGGATTTCAGATTCCTCACCACCACTGCATCTGTTTAAATGAGCACCTGGATACGACACCCTCCCTCGAATCAATGATACCCTCAGATCGATGATACCCTCAGATCATCTCTCCTTGTCCGTCCGTTCTGCTAAAGCGTCTGACTTGACTGTGTTTGCCTTTCCTGCCAGCTGTGTGGTGGTTCGCTGAGCTGTTGTCAGTGTGGTGTTAGCCTGCGCCTGATCTGTGAGCTTAGTGTCCACTTGCTTTTCTCATTAATTTCACAGCAACATGGGAAACCTTGGGAGAGCATGAAGTACAGCGTGCAGTCAGAGGATTGAAATCCTGCAAACGGAAGGCGCATGATTGCACTTCAGGTAATATTCACAAAAGCTGTAATCCATCAAAACCCAACTGAGCCTTCCTGGCCTACGTACATTCTAAAGGTTTAGACGTGGACAGGCATGCAGTTACTTCCAAGAGGACTGGGCTGTAAGTGAATTACTGCTAAATCACAAAGTTATTTCATAGACAAGAAGAAGAAACTCAAGTTAACACAAGGTCATCTGAATTGCTTCCTAACAGCAAAGTACAGGTTTGGGGTCGAGCCTGCCCGCCGGCCCATCTGGACTCTGTTATAGCATTTGTATATTACCTCCGTTTACATGTCTGTTTCCTCTTGTGTCTGACACTCCTGTACTTCACATTCTGTGAAGCAATCCTCCTGCGCCAGAGCTTACCAACCCTCTTGTAACTTAACTTTGACACTCTTTAGTGAAAAGCGATATCCTATGTTTCTCTCTAAAAATAATCAATTGCTGCTGTAGTGTTAGAAACAGCCCTTGCGACCAGCAAGATGGCTTAATGTCTGAAGGCGCTTGCCACTAAGCCTAAAGTCCCAAGTGTGATTACTGGAGACCACATGGGAGAAGAAAGTGACTGACTCCTGACAGATGTCTTCTGACCTACACACATGCACGCACACATGCACACACGCACACATGCAAGTAAATGTAAAACAGTTTTTTTGTTTTGTTTTGTTTTGTTTTTGTTTTTTTTTCGAGACAGGGTTTCTCTGTGTAGTCCTGGCTGTCCTGGAACTCACTCTGTAGACCAGGCTGGCCTCAAACTCAGAAATCTGCCTGCCTCTACCTCCCAAGTGCTGGGATTAAAGGCGTGCACCACCACTGCCCGGCTGTAAAACAGTTTTTAAATGAAACATGACATTTAGACACACTACGCTTCTTTCCTCTGTTCCATTCAGCATATAGTTATTGTGTGTTCTAGTTAAGGCTTTCCGAGTGGAGCATGGTGGGCTGTAATCCCAACACTTGGGAAGGAGAGGCAGAAGGATCATGAGTTCAAGGTCATCCTCCGCTACATAGGGAAATTCTATTAGAAGCCAGTATTGGCTACATGAAGTATTTAGGAGTAGGCAGGAGAAAGGAATTGTGTAAGGGAACAGAGCACCATGGTGTAAGCACTGACTAACCAGCTGTGGCACGGGGTGGAGGGTCAGAGTAAAGGAAAACTCACCCTTCTTGTTTTTTTGGTTTTTTGGGTTGGTTGTTTGTTTGTTTGTTTGTTTGTTTTTTGTTTTTCAAGACAGGGTTTCTCTGTGTAGCCCTGGCTGTCCTGGAACTCACTCTGTAGACCAGGCTGGCCTCGAACTCAGAAATCCGCCTGCCTCTGCCTCCCAAGTGCTGGGATTAAAGGCGTGTGCCACCACCGCCCGGCTCTCACTCTTCTTTTTAAAGGCAGAATTTGAAATCTGTACTTGCATGCAGTATAAGTTTGGAGGTATTCATCACTGTGCAAAGCTGAGGCTCCTAAACTCAGCCAACTGCAGCTAAAAAGGTCATCATCTGCAGACCAGTACCTGGGCTTTGCCAGCGGTCTCCACTCTTTAAGATGTACAGAGACAGAGAAAAGTATGTTTTTAAAGGAATATACAATCTGCTGGACATGGTGGCACACACCTTTAATCCTAGCACCTGGGAGGCAGAGGGTAGTAGATATCTGAGTCTAAGACCAGCCTGGTCTACAAAACAAGTTCCAGACCAGTCAGGGTGACATAGTGAGAGGACCCTGTCTAAAAAGAAACAAGAAATACACATTAAACCTTCATACCTATGATGATTATGAATTATCCTACAAAATGTATAGAGAATTTTACAAAACATAACAGTGGAGTATATTTGAGAGTCCGTGGTAGGTTTGACGGCATTCCCACTCTTGTGCAGTAATGCCATTTAGGTAGTATTGTTTCCTAGCATGGTGCTTTTTATACTTGAAATATATTTTTGCTTTATTTTTTAATTAATATTATATTTGCACTAATGACTTTCTGGAGAAAATGTTACAGATGACATTTTTTGTATATACATACATATATATTTATTAAGCTTAGAATGTGGTCCCAGTGTTTTCTCTGCACAAACATGAGACTTCATGCAGTCAGTGTCACGAGACACTGAACTCCTGAGAGCTACTGGTTAGGCCATTTTGTCTCTTCCTCTTCAGTGAGCCCAGAGCAAGGTCGCTGTCACTTAGCATTGATCCCACATGTCGCACTTAGCAAGGCTTGGACAGTCACTCAGCCCGGAAGGCAGTCTAAGAGGCTCATTGTCATCACTTAGAATATAGCACCAAAAAATAGCTTCTGCAGTCGAGATTTCAGTGCAGAATTACCTGTAGAATTCAGCTGTGAACTGAAGAATTTGAACTTCATGCTAGTGGCAGATTAACCCTTTCACATCGCAAGGACAAAACCAGTGGCCCATGGCAGGAACCAAGCAGGATGCCCCATGGTAGGAGTGAGGTGAGGCAGGAAACGGGGTGGGGGGTGGGGCATGATCAGGAGAAAGTAGACTGTTCCTGAATCAGAAAAGTCAAGTGTTTATAAAAACTGACTACCTCGGTGTTCAGTTCCAACATGTCATTGTAAGTGTTTTAAGGCCCTAGGTGTCAAACATATCAAGTGAGTTGTCTCAGGTTTTTGCAGAATTTACAGGAAGGAAGCAAAGCCATGTGAGGAGCCTTGAGCGGGGTCAGGAGGGAGCAGGACAGCCTTTGGTAGTCTGTGTGTCGACTCCTCCGTTCTCTCCTGCAGAACATCCTTCCCGTAATACTTACATTTTTCCTATGGGATTCTTATATTTTTAAGACCAAATGGGGATTCTAAAAATGTTATAAATTATACTTACCATTAATTTTTAGCCTAAGTTGGCTTAGAGTTTATTGAAATTTAAATATATATCATAATTGTATGGGTTGTAAATAGTTTTAGGAAGAAACCTATGTAAGTGTATCAGAGTATTTCATGAAATGTTATCAGCATTTTCTTCACTATTAGATTTACAGATTCAGCTGGGCATGGTGGGCATGCCTGTAATCCCAGCACTCGGGAGATAGAGGCAGTAGGGTTATGATTTAAGACCATCCTGGGCTATGGAGAGAGAGAAAGTCTCAATTCTACCCTCCCCTACCAAAAAAGAAAAAAAAATGTACCGTTTGCAGCCATGTATAAAGCAGCTAGATAGTTAGTCTGAAATTTTACACTGTAAAGCCCTGCGACTAACACTTGTCAAGAGACCTAAGTCACGCAGCCCTGCTCAGCCTCCTGGAAGCTCTAGCCTGCACACTGTGTTCCATGCCTCACTAGATGAACAGAGGGGAGCCAGTCTCTGAAGACAGCTGAGTTGTCCCAGCATGAGGTGGACATCCTCACAGCTGGTCTCATGGTGAGCACTAGTTCTCCCTGGCGTGACCTTTTGCCCCCACCCCTCCGCCCAGGACAACGGACATGCTGTCCTCAGTCTAAGCTGCTCATTCTGAAGGGTTGAGCTGGAAAGGTTTTTTTTCCTTTTTAAATTATGTTGGGACTGGGAGGGAATGCTTTTACGATTACATTTTTAATAAGTAAAATAGATTTAAAAATTGTTCTTTATTTATGGTGGTGGACTTTAAGTGTAATATATTCCTTAGAAAAATACAACTTTAATAAAAAATGGAAACTAACCTGTAGCCTGTCTTTACCTAAGACCGTTGACTTTATAAAGCACGGGTAAGAAACAGACACTGTCATGGACTTGGGGAACGAAGAGGAGGTTACTACTGGGAAATAAAACTCAGTTTTACTTACGTGTGAAAAAAGTTGTCCTATATCCAGAATGGAGACATGTCGTGTATAACCCTTGAAGAGGTAAGAAGAAAGCAGACCAGACGGGTCCCCAGAGCAGTGTGATCCTGCTGTAGCCTTTGCTCTGTGACCAGCCTATTGCAGGTACCACATACTGCAAACACTGTGGCTGCAGCCATGGAGAGTGACTTCCTGATGACCCATGTGAGTATGAGTGAGCAGACCCCCCCAGCCCCCCATGGACCTACCTTCCCAGTGTGCACTTGGAGCCGTTCTGCTGTGACACAGGGCCAAGCACTTTGTGCAGCTGATCAGATAATAGTAGTTGAACAGAGATCGTCCTGGGAATTTCCTAATAAGTTTTAGATTCTTCCTAAAGCTTTAACTACTTCATATAAGTACCCACACTACAAGCAATAAGTTCAATTGTCTTATCTGTACCTCCTTTTGGTATAGAGCAGCTCCCTTAGGGAACCCTGGTATAGATTTGTTCTTTTTTCCCCAGCCTTTCTCATGGATTTTGCTTTGTTTTGACAGGGTCTCCTGTAGCCCAAGCTGGCCTTGAACTCCAGATCCTCTTGTCTCCACCTCTTAATTGCTGGGATTATAGACATGAACCCCCATGCTCAACTCAGTGATTTGTTTGTTTGTTTGTTTGTTTTAATGAAGGAGTTTATGTCAACTTCTAGAGTTTCACTGAAGGTTCAGGTTTAAATATTTCAGAATAAGGAACCTAAGAGATGGCTCATTGAGTACAACACTCACCACACAAGCAAGAGGATCTGAGTTTGGACCCCAGCACGTACATTAAATATCAGATGTGGCATCACAGACCTGTAACCTCAGTGTTGGGAAGGCAGGGGCAGGGGATCTCAAGGGCTTGCAGCCAGCTGCTCTAGCTCATTGGGGAGCTCCAAGCACAGTGTCCCCCAAAATAAGGAGGCAGCTAGAGAGGTAGTTCAAAAAATAAGAGTGCTTGCTGCTCTTGTAGAGGACCAGGTTCGGTACTCAGCACCTCAGTCAAGGGGGAGGGGTACATTC